GGGAGGGGACGTAGTCTCTGACTTCTGTCTCCACCACTTCCTCATCCAGTGGGACCGGCAGCCTCAGAAACTAGTTGGAAAATATTCCTTCTGCCTCTGGTTTCTGGAAGAATTGGGGGCTTGCGTTCCTGGGAAGCTTCCAGATAAATTCGATTTCTGCGGCTTATGGAGCTGGGGATGAACCCAAGGCTTGGCACAGTGAGCATAAGTCCTCACCTCTGAGCCCTGCCCCTACTGGGATTCTAGGCGGGACTCCACCATGACCACGCCCCCAGCCTCTCACTGGGGATTCTAGGCGGGACTCCACCTTGACCACGCCCCCAGCCTCTCACTGGGGATTCTAGGCGGGACTCCACCTTGACCACCCCCCAGCCCCTCACTGGGGGTTTCTGGGCGGAGCTCTATCCTCTCCACTTCCCCAGCCCACCATGTCACTTGTGTGGGTGTAGATTCTGCATCTCTTGGAGGGTGGAAGTAGGGGTGAGTGGTGTGAGGTAGCCCACGGTATGGCTGAATCACAGGCCTATTTTTGACAGCTGCAGTCAGGGAGGCACTGGGTAGAAGGGGGAGTATGGATCTGTCTGGGGCTTTGTTTGATTCTAAGTTCCCCAAGTGGTTGTGGATCTGGTTTCTGGCTCTGTGCTCATGTCCGGATCATAGGACAACTTGTGCGAGTCGGTTAGTCGGTTCTGTCCTTTCACCGTGTGGGTCCTGGGATGGGACTCACGCCACCAGCTTGTCAGCAAGTGCCACAAACCCCTGGGCCATCCGGCCAGCCCATGTTTTGTATTTGCTATATAACCCAGACTCCCTGCCTCTGTGACCCCATAGTTAGGCTCAGAGGCGTGCCATCTCCTTCTGCCTTTGCTCTCTGCTCTGTCCCTTTGGGTTCACAGCCACGTTTCTGCCTCGCATGAGGGTGTTGGTGGCCATAGGGCCTTCGATCCTGGAAGATTTGTGTCTGGGCTGCTCAGGGTCAACCCTACTGGAAATGGGAGCGAGCAAAGGCTAGAGGCACGCAAGCACTCGGGACCAGAGTCTGCGTGCTCGCCCGCTAGACTAGAGACTTTATTGTGGGAGAGACCCGGGTCTCCTCCTTTCTAATAGGGACAGCTAGAGAGCCCATGGGGAGCAGGTTACTGGGTCCCCCCGGAAGAGCTGCGGAGAGACCGGGGAGCTTCCGATTGTGACGCGGGGCTGGATTCCCTGGGCGTCTGAACTCAGCCCCTTCGTGGGGGTGGGGGGCGGGGCTCTCCAGCTGCCACCAGCCCCGGGATCGATCCTGTAGGAATCCTCCTCTCTCCATCAGGTAGGCTCAGGCCTCATCTGTCCAGTGGTCTGAGCAGAGAGCAGCAGTCTCAGGAGCAGGCTGGTTGGGACTGGGTGACTAAATGTCCCGCTCTAAGCAGAGCCATTCCGGCCCCCCTTTGGCTGTCTGGGATGAACCTGTCAAGTGAGAGAGATGTTTCTTTTCCCTGGTTCCCACGTCCTTGACCCCCCCCCCCCCCTTGAAGCCAGGGACAACCTTGAACTTCTAATCCCCCTGCCTCCACGCCCCCAGTGCAGCAAAGACAGGACTACACTAGCACAGGCTGTTTTTGTGGGGACGGGAATGGACCCCGGAGCCAGAGGCACGTAGGCAAGCACCCTGCCTTCCAGCTACAGCACCAGGCCCTTTACACTCGGACGCCCCTCCCATCGTGGCACCATGAGGATGGGGTGGTTAGAAAAGGGCTCGATGCTACAGAGGAGAGGGAGAATAGAGAGGGACGGGCATCTGAGCAACCTGTGGGACCCTGTGGAACTTCCTTCCCCTCTGTGGGCCTCGGCTGCGTCGTCAAAATGCGGAACTGGGACTAAAGCAAAGGGTGGAGGGGTGGGGGAGGGGCAGAGCTGCTGTTGACCTCAGTACCCAGAGGATCTGGTCCACTTTCGGAAGCTTCTGGAAGCTGCCAGGAGGTGGTGTCTCAGGGATGTCCTGCCGATCTGGGGTCCGTTCCCCATCCGCAGGGGCTCCAGGCAAGGTCTCCCAGAGAGGGGCCTCTTGGCACAAGACACGCGGCCTCTCCGCGAAGACCTGGAAGCCGAAGGCCGTGGTGAGCACGGGCACGTGCAACAGGCCGGGTCCCTGCGCAGATGGCCGGAGCCCCCGGCTGCAGCCCCCAGGGCTGCGCTGGCCCAGGCTGGGAAGCTGGAAGCGCGGGATCTGGGCCGGGGTGAGGGGCCGGCTGGTCGGCGTGGTGAGCAGCGGTGGAGGGGCGGGAGGCAGGGATCCTGTGTCAGGGTGGCTGGTGGCCAGGTTACTCCTGCTGTCCCCGCCCCCTCAACCTCTTCATCTCTCTAAAGCTCCGTCTCTCCCCGTCCATGTCTGCCTTTCTCCCCTCCGACTCCTACTGAAATATTAAATCTTCAGTGTAATATTAAGGGAAAACATTAAATATTAAATTTCTCCTTTTTAAAATATTAAAACACCCAGAGTTGGATTTGACTCCCCAAATTCTTAGACCATTTTCTCCCACGCTAAGGTGGCAAGGGACTCTACGGACATAGTCACCCTTTTGACTTTGTGACAGTCACCCAGATGCAAAACAGCGTTTAAAATAAAAATCAGGGGCAGCGGTGGGGCACACCTTTGATCCCAGCACTCAGGAGGCAGAGGCAGGTGATTCTCTGTGAGTCAAGACCAGCCTGGGCTACAGAGTGAGTTCCAGGATAGGCAGGGCAACACAGAGAAACCCTGTCTCAAAAAAAAAAAAAAAAAAAAAAAACAACAACAACAACAAAAAAATCAAAATACTCAACACAAATAGGATTCTTCAAAACATACTGTGTACGTGAGTCTTCACTCTGCAATTGTTCCAGGGCTGTGTCAGCAAGTTTCTGTGATGTTACACTGTGTAACTGAAAGACCCTCAGACAGGACCTTTCCTCTCTGATGAAGACCCCAGGACCAGCACACTCCGAGACCAGGCCACAGGATGCAATTAGCAAGAGGTTTATTGAGGAAACACAGGTACCTGTGGGCAGCAAGTCTTTCGTAGGACTTGCTCACCTGCAGACTGGGGGGAGGTCTTTTTATAGGGGAGAGCAAAAGCAAGCTTACAGAAGCAAAAGCGTGGTTATCGGAATGAGGCGGGGGCATGAATGGTTTCCTTTCTCAGCATGGATGCCTGGCAACAGTCATCCTGTTCCTATCTTACAGCTAACCTGCTTTGTTGATATCCTATCTTATTGACATCTTGCCTTGCAGTCTTCCTATCTCTATCTCCTGCTCTCTCAGGCACATGGGATGTTCTTAAGGGAGCAGGCTGGCTGCTGATCCGGAGAATTTTTTTTTAAGCAAACAGGACGTTCCCCCGGGAGCATGCTAGCTGCGGGTTTTGAGGAGGGGGTCTGTAGGGTCTTTCATAACAAACATTCCCAAACATAGTAACATGAAGCCCCTTGTTATTTCAGGTGAGTGTGTGGAAAATCTCACCTAGGCTGTCCACTGTGTTTTTCTTCCTTCTTGTTTTTTTTTTTTTTCCAGACAGGGTTTCTCTGCGTAGCTTTAAAGCCTGACTTAGCCTCAAACTCACAGAGAACCTCCTGCTTCTGTCTCCTGAGTACTGAGAAAGGCCTGCGCCACCACCACCCGGTATGTGGGGACAAGTGCCATGGCGTGTGTCTGGAGGTCAGAGGGCAACTTGCAGTTGTTTTCTCCCTCTGGAGGTTCTGGGGACCAGGCTTGAAGGCAAGGGCCTTTCCTGGCCCCTCCCTCTCACTGGCTCTGTTTTTGTGCCATTGAGGCGAGTCTTGTTCATAGATGTGGGCAGGGCCATCGGGTGGGGCGGGACTAATAGGTATGAACCACCTCTCCTTGCCTTAGCCTTGCTGGCCCCGAGGAGGTAGCCTGCGCTTCCCAGGCAACAGGTGCTAGGCCAGCCCCCCCCCCTCCCCGTCTCCCCCACCCACACACATCCAGGGTTGCGGCTTACAGGCCCTCTGGCAGCAGGGGACTCTGAGTTCCTCTGCTAGCTAGACTGTTTCCGGCATGAAGTCCACCATACTTCTGTGGTGTAGGGCAGTCAGGACCCAGGTACCGCTTGCAGGATGAGGTCTGTAACGGAAAGTAGCCTGGGAACTCGTGGGGGACACCCCACTTTGTGCAGGTCGGCCTCTGAGGGGCAGCCCAGTCAGCTCTCAGGTGAAGTGACTGATCGCATGTCAGTTTCTGAGCGCTAACTCCAGGGCCAGCTCACAGGGCTGTTTGTGGCCAGGCAGGGCTGCTGGTCCACACTCTCTCAAGACTACAGCTCGGCAGGGGTGGGGGGAGTGGGCTTCTTCTCCCCAGTGCCATGTGGAGCACAGGTGGCTGTTTCGAGGGGTGTCAGGGACAAGGCTTGCTGACTTTGGGGAAGCTTAGGGGAGGGCCAGCAGCACTGACGTAATTTCCTTCACCGCTTCCAGAGGCACTAAGCAGGGCTGGCTGGCTGGCTTGTTTTTACCCCTGAGAAGTGGGACCATGGCTGACTCTGGCCTTGGGTCACATCTTCAGGGAGCCAGGCTTCCGCTGCCTGGGCTCCCCAAACTTAAGAATGGCTGATTGTCTCTGGGGATTGTGACGTGGGCTCCAGCTCGGGTGATGAGAAGGGACTATGAGGGCTGAGGGCTAATTTATGGTTGCCTTATGCCAGTTGCAGGGCAGTCTGCTGGTCTGCCTGAGGTGGAACCTGCCCTGGTCCCTTCCAGGGCCCTGAGCTCACTGCCAGCCATTGAGCTCAGCAGCTGCTCCTCCATCTCCCCATGAGCCTCCTGTGTCAGGTCCTCTGTTGCCCTGGGCGGGGAAGGATCAGAGAAGGCTGTGAAATGAGGCTGGCGGAGGTGTCCTCAGAAACCCAGGCTTCTCCAGTCCCTTTGCTGGTCTTGGGTTGTGCTGTGTTCTGCCCTGCACATGGTCCTCCACCCAACCCCTGGCTTCTCAGAAGACCAAAGTGACAAAGCGGAAGGGGTAGGAGATGTGGATGCTCAAGTCGGCAATTTTATTAAAAAACAAAATAGAAAAACAGAAACTGAAACACCAAACGGAAGCTCACACAGGAAGGGCGGGCCCCAGGGTGAGGCTGCCTGCGCTTGCTAAGCATCCTGCTGCTGCACGAACGGGTTGGGGATGGCCTCCATGCCGTCCTGGGGGCAGATAAGCACCACCGAGGTGCCGCGGCACACCACGAGTCCCAGCTGCCGTGTGTCCTCCGTCAGCTTGTACTGGTCATCGGGGTCTGGGGGGTGACAGGCAAGAGGAACTGAAGGGTGTCCTTCCACCTACTACGCCACAACCAGGACCTCAGAGGGGCCATCCTGTTTCACACAGCTCTCTTTAGGGACAGACAGTACCCGGGCGCTTGGCTCTCAGAGCTCACTGTGGACATGGACACCTGGAATTCTACAAGAACCCTAAAGGGCAGATGATCACCCCATGAACACCAAGGGGTGCTCTGCAGAGTATGCAAATGCCCGGGAGGGTGTGGACAGGAGGTGGAGACCGCAGTTAGAAAGTGTCATGGGTGCTGGGGAGAGGGCACTCTGCGAGCACTGCAGCCATTGTTCTGGAGAAAGTGGAGATCTTATGGGCCCTGGAGCCACTGACACAGGCTAACAGTCCAGAGGACGGCTGATGGGAATGAGCTGAAGTCTCAAGCCTGGGGCCATCATGGCAGGCTTGTGACCTCTCTGGTAGTCAGGGAGGGACCGAAACCTTAGGTCACCACCTGCTGCAATGTGATCCCACAGGTGTGAGGTAGGAGCAGGGCTTGGTGGCATCCCTGCAGCAACCACAGAAGCTCACCTCGCATGTACTCAATGGTTCCGTCCAGCACCAGGTTGAGCAGTGGGTCAAACCCTTTCAGGATCCCGCTGGCTTGAGAAGTATGGGGAGGAGAGAGATGGGGAAGGATGCTGTCACTTTCCTCCACTGCAGACCCAGGCATAGGGACACTTCAAAGACAGCTGCCACTACAGAACTCATGGGGAGATGTGTCCCTGTGTGGTGGCCTGATGACTGTGACTCCAACCCTCTTCTTTTCAGTGTGGAAGGAGCCACAGATAGTGAGTTCATGGTGGGTCAAGTGTCAATATTTATTTCATTTTTTTTGAGGGGGGGGGTCTCATTTGCGCAGGGTAGCCTAAAAACAGCCTGAACTCCCTTTACTCCCTAGCGTTGGAATAGTAGGGCTTGCACAACCACGCCTGGTGCCACGGCAACTATAGCAGTGCTCTACCTGCTCAGCTACAGCCTCCGACCCAGTTGATTTTCAGGAAGACAGGGCCTTGATACACAGCTCAGACTGGCCTGGAACTTTTGATGCCCCTGCTACTGGAAACCTCTTGAGTCGCTGCTACCTCCAGGCTCTTGGAGGGACTCCTTCCTCTTTCTACAAGGATCACCAATGATGGTCTGGGTGCTACCCCACCTGGCTCTTTCCCTGGGACTGTTTCCCAACCCGCAATTGGGGCAGACTGGTACCTCTCAATGTTACAGGGTGGCCCAAGCTTAGTCCTTGTTAAGAGTTAAAATGTCGCCGGGCGGTGGTGGCGCACGCCTTTAATCCCAGCACTCGGGAGGCAGAGGCAGGCGGATCTCTGTGAGTTCGAGACCAGCCTGGTCTACGAGAGCTAGTTCCAGGACAGGCTCCAAAACCACAGAGAAGGGCTGGAGAGATGGCTCAGAGGTTAAGAGTACTGGCTGCTCTTCCAGAGGTCCTGAGTTCAATTCCCAGCAACCACATGGTGGCTCACAACCATCTGTACTGAGATCTGGTGCCCTGCTCTGGCGTGCGGGCATACATCAAGGCAGAATGTTGTATACATAATAAATAAATAAATAAATAAATAAATATTTAAAAAAAAAAAAACCACAGAGAAACCCTGTCTCGAAAAACCAAAAAAAAAAAAAAAAAAAAAAAGAGTTAAAATGTCTGCCCTGTGTGGCTTCCCTTGCTTGCCAACACTGATTCTATCTTAGGGGCCTGCTGTACCTACTCACCTTCCCGGCCACCCTGGAACTTCACTCGGATGGTCTTGTCAATGTACTTAGACAAGTCCAAGATGCTTTCTTTCTTCTTTTTCTCTTTGTCCTGCTGGAGAGTGGCGGGGTTCAAGAGTGAGGTGCAGTCTTCCCACATCTCTGTTGCCTGGACCTGGCACCCAGGGCTTCCTTTCCACCACCCCACAGCTTCCATAATCCCGTATGCACCCTCATTTCCATGTCCCATTTCCCCTACCTAAATTCCACATCCCTGAGTCTGCATCTCTTGTCTCTATCCCCAAGTCCGCCCACGTCTGCATCCACATATCGCCCAGCCTGTTATCCCATGTCCCCCGTCAGCATCCCCACGACGCTTGGTCTGTTATCTCATGTTCCATGTCTGCACCCCATGTCCCCCGTCAGCATCCCCACGACGCTCGGTCTGTTATCCCCATGTCGTCCGGTCTGCAATCCCACGTAATTCCCATTCCTCCGCGTCCTTGTCGCCCTGTCCGTCTTCGGGCGTCCGCCGCCCTCTCATCGGTCCTCCTGTGTTCCCGGCTCTCGCTTCCACAATCCCTCGTGCACGGATCCCTGCTACCCCCGCGATCCAGCTACGCTCACCGCCATCTTGCCGCCGCGCGCCGCTCTACGCAGGCGCCGCCCCGCCCCTTACCGCGAGGGGACAGTCCTCGCACGCGCAGGGTCGGCGCCTGCGCGTCGCGCGGCCCCGAAGGCGTTGCCGGGAAACCTTCCGCCTAGAGGTGCGGTGGAACCGGCGGAAATGGCGGCGGCGCGGCTGGCCGCGGCCCTGCTGCTGCTCGCGGCCCAGGTGAGCGCTGCGGCGGGTCGGCTCGGCCGCGCCACTCGCGACCGTGACCTTGCTGTCGTCCCCTTGTTCTCGCCACCGCACACTTCCGGCCGGGCTTAGCCCGCCCTGCGCCCCGGGGCCCCAACTGCCACCGCCGCCCCCTGCCAACCTCAGTTTCCCCTTCTGTAGAATGGGGCGAGTCCCCGCGCTCCTCCTCCGGTGCTGGCAGCCCTGTGCCCCGGCTTCTGCTCCGTGACCTTGGGCGGGGGGGGTCCTCATCTCTGGGTCAGTGCAAAACGTGGGGTACCTGTGGGGACTTGAGGTTGTGCGCTGGATGAGCCTCGGCCGGAGCCTGGCTTTTGGTGTGCTTTCTTTCTGAGATGCGGTGGCATGCTGTCCTTGCACTCACTGTAGCCTGGAACTCAGTATCCCGAGCGCCGGGATGACAGCTCTGTGTCACACCCCTGGCTTGTTAGATTCCTTGTGTTTGTCGCTGTGGCATCAGCCTCCAGTCCCAGTGGATCTTTGAGGGCTGTAGCCTCAGGCACACGAGGCAGCTCCAGGGTTCTATTGGGGACGACCCGCAGGGTAGCCTGTGCTACTGTCCTAAGTGCACATTATACTATATGTTCCTCTTCTCTCGTGGACTCTGGGGTTGTTTCTTTAAGTTCTTCTTTCTTTCCTTTTTTTTTTTTTGAGATTACAAAATTTTATGACAAGTCTCCCCTTATAGCCCAGGCTAGCTTTGGGCTTGTAACTGCCTCAGCCTCCCCAGCCTTCCATGATTGGCTAAGAAGTTAAAGCATTCCCCAGGCCTCTGGTTCCTAGCTGCTCCACCATGGGGCCCACATCTCCCTTTGGCCAGTTCTATCCCCACATCCAGCTCTTGGCTGGACATGAGCTTTGGAAAGTGTGTCAGGGCTTGCTGCGTCCTGCCAGTGGTCCAGGGACTCTGTGCCATGTTTTCCTGGTGTCAGGGACCAGCCCAGACATAAATCATTTCTTGTACCAGAGTGGAGGCGTGGGAATAAATGAAGACACAATTCCAATTCACACAGTATCCGGAGTTTCAGAGATAATTCAGATCCTGAAATCACCTGCGTTTATTTTCCAAACAGCTTTTATATCAAGGTAAACTGAGCAGGAAGCTTAACAAAAAACTTCATTGGCAATTGTTTTCTGGGGGGGGGGGTGTGTGTGACTTAGGTCACGTCTTTGTCTGTGTGCCTCCTGAAAACACCTCTTCCCCAGGCAAGGAGCAGAAGGACATTAGCTTACTCTGGCCTATTGCTCAGGCCGCTCAGGTTGTTTACTGTAAAGAGCCGGGCAGCCACCTGTGTGGAATGGCAGTTGTGCCTCAGAGCGCCAGACATTGTATGGGCCTGCAACTGGCCTGCCTCTGGAAATAGCCCTCTTTGGGCAGGTGATGCCCACTGCGGCTTTTCTACTTTTTCCCGTCTTGTCTTTGACTCCATGACTGGACCTGCCTTGGCCAGTCTTGCTTTCTTTCTGATCTCTTCTCCCCAATGGAGGGCTTTTCAGGCGCAGTGACACTGGGAGCTTCTGAAGGGTGAATAGTTTGCCAGGGGTGGGCAAGGAAGGGTGCTGCGGGCAGCAGATGCTGGCCAGGCTGTGAGAAATAGCATTTTCCCTGGGGATGAGCCGGAGTTGTCACCTGGGGAGTGCTTCCCCCCAGAGGAGCTGTTTAGACAAAAGGGTGAGGCCAGCTTTCCTCTCAAGGTTGGAGACAGTGGAGCAGAAGGGCCTGGGGCCTGGGACAGTGAACCTGTGTACCTGCGGACTTTACCTGGGCAGGCGATGGGTGTCACCTGGACTTTATCCTGCTCAAAAGCAGCTGTCCCTGCCATTCCCACATCTTGGTGGGGAACAGGCAGAGGTGGCATTCTTGGCTAGGTAACAACAGCTTGCTCCCGATGCCAGTCGTGAAGCTGGCTCTCTGAGCAGGAGGTGGCTTGGTGGCAGGCTTGGACCCCTGCTGTTTTGTGACTCTGACTCAAAGACCAGATGTCCCCAGTTATACCCTCTCTCCATTACCAGGAGAGGAGTGTGCAGACAGACTACATGGCGCTGTGGCAGGCTCTGTTGTCCCTGAGCCCCACTCCCGGCTCCCCATCAGGCCTCTGGTGTCCTGAGGCCCCCGATGTTCTACTCCTCGTTGTCTTGGTTGACCCCCGCTCTGAGGTGGGCTCATGGTGCCCAGATGTCTCTAAGTAAACTTGCTGTCGGGGCTTCGGCACTCAGGTGTCACTGGGACACGGAGCCTTAGGAACTGGTTCTTAGAAGAGCCACCATGTTGTTCCTGTGCTGGTGGAGTAGAAAGGTTGCCCTGTGCGCTGTGGAGCGGGTGACCATGAATGCGCCTTTGTGGTCATAAATGGCCGCTGTGAGGAGAGGCAGTTCTCTCGATCACCGGTTTTCACAAAAGCCACTTTTCACAGACAGTCCCGTCCCAAGCCCACAGAGCAGGGCTCTGCTGGCCCCTCTCACAGCTGCCCTGCTGCGGGGACGGGGAGGAACCGTGGCTGCCACACAGGAATGGACTTACTGTGTGCCGATGCAGCTTTCTGAGCATAGATGGCAGGAGGAGTCTGGACTCTGCTGCTCTCTGTCCCTTCCCTCCCCTGAGCTGGACACACCCAGCAGCCTGGAGAAGCAGAGATGATATTGTGGGGACCACGGGTGGGCAGTTGATGCCAAGGACACAGCTCTCCTGAGATGACAACACTAGCCCCCACGGTGCTGGCTTGGAAACAAGGCCCACGCTGCTTGCCCTCTGTCTAGGGCCTCCAGGAGCCAGGGCTGAGGCAGCCTGGGCTTCCCCATGCTGCTCCCTAGAGGTCAGGGCCTCTTGCAGGGTGTAGGCTGAGTTAAAAGGGGGCAGGCCAGGCCTGTGTGAGAGGCCCAGGCATCCTAGTGCAGACCCTGCCAGTCCTGCTGCAAACTACTGTCCACCCATGACTTGAGGCCAGCCTGGCTCCTCGTCTGCTTTCACGGCAGGTCCTCTGGCGACATCCAGTCTCTCCCTGAGGAGTCTGCCACCAGGAGGAGTGAGCTCTGAGAGCCCAGGTGCTAAGTGACTTGGTGGGGAGATAGAAACCAAATCTCTGTGCCCCAGATATATCACCCAACGACAGAAATGACTCCACCCAGGTTGAGTGTAGTGAAGCAGTGGACTCGTGGGGAGCCCTTAGGATGTGGGGGTGCTCGTCACTGAGAAGCTGACTCTTGACAGGCTTGGTGGCACTGGGCTGGCTGTCTACCCCCAGCAAGTACTGTGTGTGGCCTTGGCAGCGGGTCTGTGAGCTTACGCTCCCTGAATTTAGGAAAGTTATGGCGGAGTTCCAGCCTCAGACACCTCAAGACCCTCCACTCTTTCCTCTTCCGTGACACGCCCTGAGCCCTAGGAGCTAAATGTGGTGTTTTCTCCAGTAAAGGCTGACCATTGGTCCACTGTGCCACAGCCATGGTCAGCTCTCCTCAGGAGCCTGGCTGGTTTCCCTCTGTGGCTGACCAGACCTCCAGCTGCCATGATCCTTAGATGGAAGCGCAGATGTGTAGAAGGCGTCCTGACGGGCACTCCGCAGACATTCCCCAGAACCGCAGTGTGTGTCCTGACGGGCACTCCGCAGACATTCCCCAGAACCGCAGTGTGTGTCCTGACGGGCACTCTGCAGACATTCCCCAGAACCGCAGTGTGCACAGAGCCCTGACTACATCTCGTCTCTGGCACCGCAAAGCCAGGTATGTGCTTGTTGTCCCAGCACTCGGGAGGTCAGATCAGAAGTTAGGGCGATCCTCAGCTACAAAGAATCTGACATCATCCCGGGCGCCATGACACCCTGCCTACAATAGCAGCTGTGTCCCTGCTGCGGACTGTGATCTCCCAGCACAAGTAGGCAGCGCACCGCCAACCTGAAGTTGGCACCTGCGAGAGTCCTGTCATTGCTGTGCCAGCCTGGCCCCCATGGAGTGTTGTAGTGTGGTACACAGGGAGGTAAGTCTTCCCCTCAGCCAGCTCCCAGGGAGTGGGCTGCCACCCCAGCCCCAGCCTGACGTCTCTGTCTTCTGCAGCCGGTTTGTAGCATTGCTGGCATCAAGGACCCGCTGTGGCGTGAGAGCAGCCACAGTGGTGATAACACTTTATTGTGCGTGCTTTTTCAGATCTGTGGGACTCTGTCAGACTCTGAAAGGTTAGCATTATGTGATAAAATTCCTTTTTAAATTTTTTTTTATGATTTATTTATCTTTATTTTATGTGCATTGGTGTGAAGGTGTCAGATCCCCTGCAACTGGATTTTCATACAGTTGTGAGCTGCCATGTGGGTGCTGAGAATCGAACCTGGGTCTGCTGGAAGAGCAGTCAGTGCTCTTAACCACTGAGCCATTTCTCAGCCCCCTGAAACTCCTTTTTTTTTTTGGACATTCCTGTTGTGTTTGGGTGTGTGTTTGCACGCACATGCTGTGACTCGTGGAGTCTCATCTCCCCTACTCTGTGGGTCCCAGGGCCTGAGCTCACTCTCTCCCAGCTGGGCTTGGGTGGCTAGAAGGATATCAACAGGAAACACTGGCCAGGTCCAAGCTCAGAGCTGGTGACCCCTGAGGAGGGAAAGGCTGGGTGCGGCAGCATGGATGGGGACAGCCTGTGCAGCCGTCCACCCCAGTCGTTCCCATGAGCCTCTTTCTCTTCATTCCTGGCGCTGCAGCTGTGAGACTGCCGGGCCAGCCTGGACCCACTCAGGCTCCATGGTGGGACTCCCTGTGTAGACCAGGCTGGCCACTACCTCAAGTGGTGGGCGTAAGGGCATGTTCCACCATGCCTAGCCCCACATGCTCTGTTAAG